GTTGCAAATAAACGGAATTATGTTCCGTAACATAAAACTGGCCTCTGACACATGTCTAAATGCGCGTTAATCAGTTTCGATGGTTTTGTTAAACACCACTCTAAGTGAGTAACCAGTTAACCACTTGTTGAGACCAATGTTTAGAGACAATTTGTTTCTCAAAATATGCATGTAATTCTCCTGTGGAATAAAGGTAAAACGCTCCTTTTTGAAGTAAAGGGATGAGTCATTTCCATTCCACGAGAAATAGCGTCTACGCAGTTATGCGTTGAAAGCAATAATCAGACGGAATTTGGTAGCGATTTCGTCAGTCATCCAAACCGTGAGTTTTCCAGTGCGTGAAGCAGATACCTCCAATTGCAATAACGCTCTTCTTCCAAGTGATATTCGTGTATACACCGTATAAGTAGTTCGTTTCTGAATAAATATATTCGTGTACTCGGAGCTCACAAATGTTATAATGCATCAGCAAAAGACGCATTTGGCCGGATAAAAAACTGCTTTCTCTGAAGGATGTCATTCACTTGAAATATAAAACAGATTATCATATGATAAAAACTCACTTTACATCAGACCAGTAATGGCGTCAAATCTATTCCTGTGTATAGGGATCAAATTGAATATATTCTTTGACAATTTCAAATGGATATAAGAAAATGGCCGTTTGACAGAATCTACTTAGTGGTTTGCAGCCTCTCAACCAGAGTCAACAAAAAATATTTAATGCAAGGGAGTACAAGACAGGTGACGGCGGGTTAGGTTTCGAAAGTTTAAGGAACCATATTATCGATAAAAGTGGAGAGTTGAGTTCAAATTACTTTGGAGTGAGGCTGGTAATGGCTAAAACATGAACTTTTGCAAACGGAGTATCCTGGAGTTGTTCACGACTGATATGATATTCTTTTAATAATAACTGATTACTGAGTTCTCCCGGATGAATGACCAGTAAACAGGGTAACGATGCTTGCTGCTAGCGGACGTCTCACCTTCGCGTTGAAACGTCGATAGGAATAAAATCACATTCAGTAAGTACTTCTGAAGTGCACAATGTTGCTAATCCGCAGAGCCAGATCCATCCTTGTTTACGCTATCAATAAATGAGGACAGTGCTGCTAGTACGCGGATGAATGATTTGCCGATGGTCAAGTAGATCAACCCTACTACTGCCACGTAGGNNNTGTGAATACCACATTGCTCTCATTCGAAATCGTGGGAGCTAACACCATTTGTGCGCTCGAAACAGAAGTAGACCCCTCAATAGTCGGCCGAGTATATAACGGATTGCCAAAATGTACTAGACAGTTCCAACGCTGCGCATCTGAATTTGACATTCACGATAGACATTCACTCTCCATCGGGAATTTCAACGTATTAAGCAATCAATTAGCATATTACGATGTTTGCCTAACTCTTTGTGATGGCGGTTCCATCAGGACCGTAAAATTTAAAGCGACGTTCCATAGTCAGTATATTCATTTTCGTATCTTTGTAGCACTCAGTATGAAGATGAATCTCACACTCTGTTTGGCCAATAGAGCTGGAAGAATTTGCGCCAAGGACATGTTGGTTGAAGAACTCCGAAATGAGCGGGATATCTTCATCTAGATTGGATACCCGAAACGCTTGGCGTAATCTGTGCAGCAATGATAAAAGGCGTTTCCCATGAATGTATTAACTGAGAAGACATTTGTGCACATTTCAAAACCATTTAAAGACGATCCCTTGGTATACATTGTGCATAGAAGATTATTAAATGGCATCAAAAACCTCGATTCATATCTAGCCGTCAATTTAGTTACGGTTGAGGGATGGGGTGCTCAGTTCTGTTGTTTCATTATGTATGTATTCTTTATCTTGCTCGTATTGAGCGAGGTATGTTTGCCGCGAGGCCAGGTATCTGCACGACCACAACCGTCAGCATCATACTGCGTGGTTGAGAAGTGGATTCATTAAGTCAAAAACAAGGGTGCTCGTGTCACACTTTGTCGGCAGCAATCACATCGTAGACGAAACCAAAACGTTCCGACGCTTGAATGCAGTTCAAACAGGACGGTCCAGATATGCCGGCTTTTGCATTCTAGCCAGAGCGGAAGCAGTTAGTATCCGTTGTCACTATCCCTGTGCTCTCAAAAATAATTTGTGGATTCAATCAAGCTCCTATGACCGGATTGCTGTTAAGCGACCCGCCATGTACCATCAAAGCAATTGATGACGGAGGACCAATTATGATACAAACTGTTGAACAATTTAATTATTCTCCATATTTCCCCTTGTAAATCCTCTTTCAACCAAGCGCCTTGCGATGGTCAAAGTCGGTCTATGTGATATAATCTGTTTTGTGTCATTCTAGCTCACAGTGATTAATCTGGTCTACTAATTTATCCTTTGTTGCAGCCTAAACCGAAGGTTTCAATGCAATGGGAGGCAGGCTCGACTGAATGACAATCTTTGAATGGGGGAGGGGAGACACCGTGTGATCGGATGCAGACGTAATGTGGCAACATAGTTGGTTATTTGCAAAGCGTTTTTTATACGATTGGTGATAAGCTGCATTGCTGACTCCCCTTCCTATGGTAAAGAGATTTCGACATTAATTTTATACACCCGATGGAAATTTACTAGAATCAGATTTCTTGTGTGACCGTGAATACGAACGAAAAATTCGGAATAGCCATTTTCTGTTAATGCGGCGTTAACATTTTTTTGTTCGTTTAGTTTTGCATCCCCCATACACATTTTATTTTCTGGTTGTTCGAAACTACGTTAGAACCAAGGTTCTCTTATGTTACACTAGGGGGAAAATGTTGAAGTGATGTTACTGTCGGCAACAAGTCTTCTTGCAGGAGATAGATCGTTGGGTAGAAGGGTCATCCTTACGGGTAGTTAGGACTTCAAGGACAGCTAACGAATTTTACTTCTTCCTACCTCACACATGGGTTTCACTTTGCGGTGTACTGCACTGAGTTCATTAGGCAATACAGCCATATGACCAGACTGATTGTAGGTGTTAAGTGCAATATTCACGTTCCATTTGTAGAAAGACATTCGCTGGATTGCCTCGTTTTGCCGTACTTCAATCATATTCATCAGAATTGTGGCCAGAATCGAACTAAGAAGGCTACCCATTGCGACACCGTCTATGTGTCAAAATGCTGTTTCTTAAAACGGGAAGCGCGCGTATTCGCTGCAAATTAAAAAGAGAGGTTTTAAAAGCATAGAACGTATGCTAAGCTTTATATTCTCTCGATTGGTAAGTTCACAGATGAAGTCTACTATTTTATTTAGGTCGATATTTGTGAATGATGACGGAACATCAAAGGAACACATTGTTTTAATGAATACATTCAAAATGGACTAACTATCACGAAGTTGAAAGGAGTCACGTGGTTTGTGATTCCCAAGGCGTCTATGTACTGGTTGAAGGACTTCTGGGCTAGTTTGTGATAGGGCGATTCATGCTTGTATAATACTGGCCGTAAGGGGACAGACGATTTATGGGTCTTTGGTAACCCGTAAGAAATCGCTGTATGACAAGCACATCTGTTGCACGTACAGATGTAGACATCACAAAGTGTACACCGCCTTAAAAATGGAGTCGGGTTGCAAATTTCACGATTGGTTGTCACCAAACTTGATGGTAGTGTTTTTACACCATTGTTTCGAGATTAAAAAAACTCGTTAGACCACAAAGTAGAGAAGACAGATATGAAAGCTCAACCACTGGTAAAATAATTGATACGGTTTTAATATCAAGCCCTGAAATACGACAAATAAAAGGCGAGAGTATATTGTCTCTCCTAGCGGGGTTTCCTCGTAGATGTCCAAGTGGATTGAAGAAAATGCTCAGTCAATCTACAGTTTACATGTGTTACACGTTTTACGGATTTTCTGCTTGCTAATCGAACACGAACCATGATCTCGTTATTTAAACTAGGTTTCCAGAGGAAAAATAAAGTCTTACAGACTGTACATTGCATAGTGAGGAATAAAAGAAAAATAAGTTTAGTGAATAGAGCAATAGGATGTGTAGTCTTGTTTGCTAGGAACATGATACACTGTTGGGAATGTTTGCAACATTTCAGTTACAGATCATGGCTCAATTGTACCTGATATGTTGAATACGGCATGATTGTGTTGTAAATGTTCCTGGAATCCGCAGGACGTCCAATCAAAGAACATCTTTGTTGTTGCCGGTCAATTCGATTTATAGAATTCATAGAATCCATAGATGGCAGAAAATTAGGTGAAACGGTTCGTGTTTCATTCCGGGAAATCGAACGAACCTAAAGTATGCCTAAATCCGTGACACCAGCATACTAAAAAGTTCATTTTCAAAAAATTAAACTCCCCTGTTGCCACTGAATATAACCTTGATACTGAGCGTGGGCTCATCAAACGCCAACTCATCAGCTGCCTAAACTATTAGCAGAAGACTGATGCACAATAATAATAAAACCCGGATAGACGAGCAAGCTCGTTTTCCAGCTCTTGGAGATAATAGTATATTGAGCAGATTCCTCTCATTTGGACGGAAAACGTTCCGTTCAAAAGGACATAGACGACTACAATCATTGGCAAATTGAGTATTCGGAAGTGACGGATTACTAACGGGTTTGCAGGCATACCAGTACTGATGAAAAAGCAATCTGTTTGAGGAATCTGCATTTCTCCGACTAGTGGGATACACGTCCAATCTCCAAATACTGCTGGGTGAAATAAACGGTTTATTATGAGGTGTCGTATCGGAAGTAAGTACATCGGAATCGACAGTTTCCGTTCTAAGTTTATTGTCACCACTAAACAGGTGATTAATAGCTATCCAAACACCATGCAAATCAGTGCCTTCAGAACGGGTTATATGCATATTTTTAAGATCTGAAAAAATTGTGGGCCCCTTGAAACAAGTGCCTCGTCAATATTTATAGAATTGGTAATTCTACCAGCCTGCATATTTCAGAAAAAAGATTGAATTTCTATTTTATGGAACAGTACCGTGTGAAAATCAATGGCACAAAGGTGTCCTTCCGGAAAAGGGGGCACAGAAACTAGAAAGGTTCTAACATGGGAACACAAAATCGTTTCTGGCGACACGTCAAGGTTTTCAGGAGACCAATTGATCGGAGCCTGAAATCATAATAGTTTGAGGTTGCCGCAACATTCCAGAAGTTCCCACGATTTCCGCTCGGTTTCTACTCTCTTATCCTTCAACTTTCTGCTTTCTCGGGCTCCTCGTCAAAATTCGACTGCGCGCGTTCAGATCAAATTGAGAAATTGCAAACCAATAAATGAGTTGATTTCGCCGGTCGAAATGTCTCATATATTTATTCACTCGGATTATTGCGAGCAAATATTTTTTAAAAGGCTTTCAGTTGATCAAATTAGCCAAAGTTTTCATGCCAACATACCAATCACAGTTACCAGTAAGTAGTCCTGAAGATCAATTGCGAAGGTCAATGGGTTAGTCCAAGCCGCATCGAATCGAAACATGCTACATTTAGCTTCACTCCTGACTCAAATAAATGATTCCAGTGCCTTCAAAATAAAAATGAATATGCCTCATTTATTTTTGTTGTTCGATGCCATGCGTAAGTGACCGATGAGAGTGTACGACAGTAATTCCTCTCAGGTTATTTGCATTCTGACTTGTTCGTTCAAAAAATAATAAGACGCTCCAATGAGCAACGATATTCACTATATATGATCGGGTATCCCAGGTGAAGTGTATCATAATCCTCTGCTTTTTCTCGATAGGAGCGGTCATTATTCCTCCTAAAGCCGACACATCCTCACCAAACGTTTCTTCCCAGATGTGCTGACTTCGGGAGTTCTGAATTAACAAGGAGATTACCTGCTAGTAGGTGTAATAATGGATGCGCCACAATTAAACTCAAAGGGAAATTCTCAGACATATATGCGGGATATCTGAAACATAGTAACCAGTATTGTGAACCAATGAGTGGATCTCACCTATATTTGTTGTCCCGACGTGATCCAAACGAACAATTTTGTTTGAAAATGTGTCTCATTTGATTCAAATTAGTCCTTCCATATCTTTGTGTCCCAATAAAGATTCCAATGATTAGGATTTTCCGGAGAACAACTGATCGGAGTCATCATCATGGAAACGTATACGGTTTATCTTTTCTATGTGCAGCTGGACACAATTTTGAGTTAAAATGATCCGGATTGCTCATTGGAGCACGTTTCTCAAGTTTTAAATCATGCGGTTCATTTGCGGAACCACAATCTATTTGTGATGGCGCCTGGTAACAAATGTTATCATGTTTGGGAGACTCAGTGTGATCAGGATAGTAAAATCATCTACGGTAAAGTTTTCCAATATATACACAACAAATTACTTGTTTGTGCTGTATTTCAGGGAGACAAAATATCTGCAAACCCATTGTTGTCGGATGTCCATATAAGGGGTGACAGAGAATGTTTCTGAGATGCATCAAGTAATCACGTATTTGATATATCCAGTATTCGTTGATGATGGCCGTTGATTTATTGAACTTGTTCACGGAGTAAATTAGAAGACGTAGGCCTCGTTTGTGAACACGCATGTGTCGCTGAACCCGATGCAATTTATATACATCCAGTTGTAAGATTTGTAATTTGAATTTCACTGGGTAAAGCCGATTTTTGCGGCCTAGGCACCTTCAGGTCTTCTTATTTTGCATTTTCGCACCCGCTGATGCCGAAACTATTAGCTAGTTCACTTCAGAATTTGGAAAGACTACCCTATGTTGCATGATGATAGAATGAAACGTTGATAATGCAGAAAACTAATGGTAGTTTTCCACAAAATTGTGAACCTTTTCTGATCTTGGGCGAGAGCTAATGAATTGCACACATATCCATACGTGGTCTCGTGCGCAGCTGCTTTGCTGATCTAAAATAATTGCTATACGAATGTGACCCTTCTGTTCAAGTCTGGGTGTATTCCACCTATAGCAACCACAGAAAATGCAATGACTTCGAATTGGAACTTGTGATGATTCCCTGTTCATTGTATGCATTACCTATGTCCTCGTATATTATTTATATGAGTCGTTCTTCAAACACGGAAATCTCTCATTGACACTGTCAATTTATGTTGACTGTGATTTCAAAGAATATGGTGGTAAATCTCGTTTAGAGGAATTTCATAGTCTTCTTAGCATATCTTGATTGTGCTGTCATCTGAAGGGAGAGAACATTTTGTTGACCGTTGTGATTTTTGTAATACAATGAACGCTACTATAAAAAACGATATGCTATATACCACAATCCACTGAGGGTTTTGCTACAGAGATCCTCGATATCAGATCCTACTGACTAGATCCTATCGCAAACCGCGAGCGATATGTAAAAAATAGCTAAATTAAGTCTTCATAAGTAGCTTTTATAACTGCCTGAACTTGAGATAAACGGGGTATTTGAGCTTTTTAGTCAAGAGGCCGTTGTCACCGTTATTTCTCGGACAGCGATTGCAAAATCAGTGTGAAATGACCAACCAGATGCAAAGCAGGTCTCCCATAACGAACAAAATAGACATAGGTCTTAGGAGCGAATATCAGATGTTGAGAAAAGCATGTGAACTCTCTCCACAAGGATGAATTAACTACCCATAATGATGAAATTCAACGCACTGGGCTCGAAGTTACAATGCATTCATTTCGCGTTGAACGGGTGCAACTTTTGAATACTGTGGTGGGCTGTTCTTCCCGAACCCTGTTGTTCGTGGCGTTTGATCGAGTGTGCTTTCTGGACGCTTATGTACGAACCCGGCGGTTTACGATCTCGCATTTTCTAGTTATCAAGTGAATTTTGATCGAGTAATCGGTCAAAATGCACAGACGTGAATGTTGGGATGAATTATTGAATGAGTGTCTTCAATCAAATACATCCCTCAGATTTTAGCACCCAAATTAAAGCACCTAATAAACTGACTTGTAGTACTCAACTCAACTATGAGTTTCAGTACGCAAGCCGATCATCAACTCCAACAACCGAACTTATGCGTCACCAGTGGTGTGATCGATTTCATTCGTTTGAACTAAGGGGAGTGTGGTGAGAACTCGAATCTGTTCACAGCTCGCTCGCTGTGGTGTCACGTGACTAGTTGGTCTCACTGTCGACTA